TAATTATTTCTCTCAATAACACAAATACCCTGATGTAACGACAGAAGGCAAAGTAAGATATATTACAAATCACTAAATAAGTATGCCAGCCCCTGAGCTACTAACTAGCTCAATTAGTAGCAATCTATAAAATACTTTTTGCACAAACAAGAGCACAGAGAGGCATTTGTGTACGTCTTTTAACATTGCTTTCCATGGAAAAATAAGCCATAAATAGTCTATAGTTAATCGTGCATTAGACCATAAGCTGTATCTAATGATAATATTGCCACAATCAACAAGAAATGTAACGATAATCATAAATAATAAACAAGTACGTGACATCATCACACTCACCATGAAACACATGAGTATATAGCCACAAAAATGAAGCAAAGTATAAGTAACGCATTCATTGTGAAATGTTCAGCTTAGTATTTGCTCTCAAACACAATTAATTCGCGTAAAAACGCTCATTTTCTTCATAAAAAAATTAACTTCATAACCTGATACTACTCACATACTACTATTAGTTTGTGTATTTAGAGCCAAAGAGTAAATTAGAGCAAACTTCAAACGTCACTCTGACGTTTTGTTTGAAGGTTGAAACTTTTTGATACTTGGCTACCAGTAATTTATCCAAGAAGCAGGAAAGAAAGTCAAAGTTATAAATTAAAAAAAAACGCAGACACTCAACATAGCCCCGCACTAGGGAAACCCTGTATCGCGGGTGCCATGGACACACACATAGACAACCACAAATTACATCCAAACTCACGAGAGAAATAATTGTAGGCCATACAACTATTTCTCCCGACCCGGGAATCGAACCTGGGACCTCTGGGTGGCAGTCCGGCATGGTAACCGTTAGGCCACGGAGGCAGTTAGTGGTAAGATCACAGACGGACTTGATATCTTGACAGAAATGAAGGAGATCGAATAAAAAGATAAATAGGCCTTAGAGTATGAATTGGCCTTCCTTATGAGTACTAAATACATAATTGTATATTACTAAGTGCCAAACAATACTTAAAAAACCTATTTATTGTCTATTTTCTGCGCCCTAAATTTGCTGTTCTTGTTTCTAAAAACAATGTTGTAAATATCCTTTCTCTGTTGATTAAAAATATCAATAGTTTACCAGATAACACCAATTACTCGATCTTAAACTAGGGAATTCCCTGTACTATGAGTACATACCCAGAGCAACGGAATTCATTCCAAGGCACTAACACCCAGTTACAGAAGAATGAATAGAATAGAATAGAATATGAGAAGACCTGAATGTGGAATGTAAAATGTAAACGAGTGATCAACGGCCTGTAAGAATTATAACACATGGGGGGGGGATTTTTGTGCACTTTTATGACACACCTTGGTCAATTTCGGCAGAAAGTAAAAAATGTTTGAAATTCAAATAAACAAGATGGCCGCCATATAAATTTCGAAGCATTCTATCACGGAAACTATTAGAAATAGGTAGGAGGTGCTGGAAGGAATGTCATAGTCTTAGTCATAGTCTGTAAAAAAAACTCAAGTTTCAGTGCACGCTGCAATGCTCAAGTCAGGACATGAGTATGGTTTAAAGCACTCGAAATCATACGCAAGTCCCTTCCATTAGGGTCTTATTTCCAGTGCTTGAAATCATACTCAAGTCTGCTCAAATCCTGACTTGAGCATTGAGTACAGTTCGGAATATGACCCTTAGAGTGCTTGATAATAATTTGTGATCAACATTAGTTTATCGCCATTTTTCAATATGGCTGCCATAGAATTGTTTTTGGCGGCAGATGAAAATTTGCCCTAATTCAGCTAAAAATCGGCATGTAGGTGAGGTCCCCACATAGAGATTATGACTGTTTAATAATAATTTGCGGTTAAAATTTACTTTTAGTCATTTTTCATATGGCTGACCTACAAACTTTTTTAGCGAATGATAAAAATTTGCTCTAATTGTACTTAAAATCGGCATGTGGGGTTCTCCATGGGTGTTTAACAATAATTTGCAATCAAAACATTGAAGTCAATGAGTCAAAATATACTTTTTGCCATTTGTCAATATGGCCGCCATTTGTTAATTCTTTTAAAGTCATAAGTGCCGCGGCCGTAGGCCGAGGTTTAGCGGAGGGCGAAGCCCGAAGCGTCCGTACGCTACCGTACGTAGGTAGTATACGGAGACTAAATTACGAGTACAAGATTTTACAATTGTTCAAAATCTAAGGCATACTTCCCGATGTAATGGAAATAATATTTTATTTACTTATACAAGTTATAGCGTTGTTGTGTCTCGACCGTCTCTCTGTTAGATAATTTTTTCTTGGAAGCTATGTCAAAAAGAGAAGTAAGTATTTAGGGAAAAATGCCAGACAATCACTCCAAATTTCTGGGCTCAAACTAGGGAATTTCCTGTACTATGAGTACCAGAGTAAAGATAATTCTGAGGACAATGCCTAGAAAACCCTGACCAGAATCAACTTAATTTTTTTTTTCATAAATTTACTAAAATCGGGGATCGAATCTGGAAACCTCCTCATCAAGCGCCCATAGTACTAATCACTTTGCCAGTGAAGAGCATAAGCACACCCCGTAATCTGCATCCGAACCCGCGCCGCAGGCCGAGCCCGACCCCACCGTAGGTAGGGTGTAGGTCTCGTATTAATATGAAATTACTCATGTCAATAAAAGTGATATATGGATCTGTGATTTTTGTTCTTCAGCTCTTTTTCCAGCGGGATAGGCGGTGACCACAGCCTCCCATTTGATATTACCACCCACAATAGAACCACATAAGCATCCCTTTTTCTATCTTTATTTATCTACTTCTTCTACCACACCACAATACTTTCTTATCACGTTATCACACGGAACCGCAATTTGTCCACCAGAGTCACTCCAGCCGTGCTGGCAACAACTAAAAGCTCTCATTATCACTTCATTAATTCTGCCGAAATCCAGCGTGACCATCACATATTACTTGGGTTTAAAAAAAAACTAGATTTAATTATACATTTCAAATGACTATGATGCTTTACTGTCCACGCTGAGATAAGCTTATTCCGACTGCATTACTTTTGAATCTCGAGAACCACAGCTCCTAGCTTAGGTTCTAGTCACATAATTTTAAAATTAATCGCACGTTTGTCGTTTCGTATGTGGTGTTTGTGACGGACTCCATGGGCTCCATATAATACCAGCGCCGTAGCTGGTCTCACCCTTGAGTTGTGCCCGTTCAGTATCTTTTTTTTTTTCATCTTCAAATGTAGATTTAATTTAGTGTATATTTTATTTTGTAAGTGCAATTTAATATTAATGGTACCGACTGAATAAAATTTTCTTTCTTCTTATTTGTTTAGACGATACCACAGATTTATTATCTCAAAGTTATATGTATTACAGAGAACCGAACGAAGTCCGTGCAAACGGGCTATTCTGGCGTTGGGACCTGATTTAGATGGTCACTGTGCGGGCACGCTCGCACAGGTCATAGTACCCATATTCGGGTCATGGGTGCGCTAAATGCTTTTCCTGAATCCTAGTTTCAAATTACTCATCAGGTCGGTTTTTTTCAAAACTGCAGGTACTTCGTAAAATAACGACCGCCGACCTTTTTCTTACCAATCCAACTAAGTTAGTTCCGCATAAAGATTATCAAGTTTAAAATAAGTGCCAATGTGTAAGTGTTCAACTTAATTGTTTGCACTATACATATGCCACGTGTGTTACCGAGACGACTCACTCTTTTGTCCTGTTGTATTCTAAAGATGAAGCGACAAGACGATACTGTGCAAATAATATTTCGCCAACTATACTGCTTACAACTGGTATGGGTAGACGTAAAATATCGATACTAGAAGTATCAATTAATGTAAGGGACAAACCACTGTTTTTCAGGAGAGCCAAATCACGATATTATTTTTTTAAATCTGCCTATAACTCTTTATGGTCTGCTCCAATTTTGATTGTATCTGGAGCAAAGTTTCTTAGAATTTCCTCTTCTTTCATGCTATCAACGAAAGATTTTGGAATGCCCAGTTGTTTAAAATATAGCATGTCCCTCAAATTAAAAAAAGATGTTTAGTTGTACCTTACGTTACTAATATTTTATGTGTAAACCGTCAAGCATAGTGTAAGCAGTAAGAGAAATCGAAAATTATAAATCTATTGTAAAGGGTCCTTTACAATAGAACTCGACGGTTTCCACATAAAATATTAGTAACATGAGGCACAACTAAACATATTTTTTTAATGTAAGGGACATGCTATATTTTAAACCACTGTGCATTCCAAAATTTTAATAATACCAATCGATAGAGCGGGTTCTTCCGAATCCAATGATATATGTAACTAAGAATTTACCCCACAAGGAGGCGAATCTACATTTTTACACGTTTTTGTCCAAAGTCACACAATATTATGTTAAAGTAAAAGTGTTTTGGTATAGGTAAAAAGAGCCCTCATAATTAAAAATGATATCCCACCGGACCTAGTGGCTTTACCTCAGGTCATTTTTTTCAAAAAGCGTTATAGTTATTAATACGCGCCATGTCTCACAGATGTCGCTTACTGTGTCGAAAATTTCGTCAATCTGCTAACTCGATCTGAAGCTCAGTTGGAAGAGCAAGGGGGCGGTATTTGGATCACAAGAATTACTAACATTAGATAATAAGAATTATGTTTGTATACTAACAAAATATGGATCTTTGGTCTGAAATAAAAATTATTTTATTTTATTTTATTTTATTTTATTTTATTTATTTATTTTATTTTATTTTTTTTTTTATTTATTATTATTATTTCCGTGGTCGCAGGTGAGAGTCCTGTCATGTCGAAGGATTTTTTCTGTGTTCGACTTTTGTATTAATAATTATAACAAGCTAGTGGAGTAATTTAACAAAAAATATAAAATAATAAAGCAGTTAGTTGTCAATTCGTCACGCAATAAAGAACATGCAACGGTATCATCTTCTCGCACAAACAAACATAATGAAATAAGTTTAGTCATAGTGAAACTTAACCGTGTAACCGATCTTTTATTTCTGAAGGCGTAACTCTAACTCGACAATAATGATTATGCATAAGATTGCAACATATTTTAGTCTTTTTTCACATTTAAAAAACATATAGTACAACATAATTTAATCTATAAAAGCTATGTAACATTGAAACGTACAACTAATTAAACTAGATATTGTTTAGGGCCATTTTCTTTTGGCTGTGTATCCTTCATATTTCTTTTTGTACTTCAAGCCGGTGACAATTGTTGAGCTCTGGGGGAAGGCAGATTTTCCATTGAATAGAGTATCCTTGTCTGAAACATAAAATCCAAATATATAAACCACACCAGTACATCATTATAAACAGAGCTAATGCTATGGAGAACTACACTTGTATTTATAATTCCTTCAATTTGTATTGACACAAATAAAAATGGCCTCATTAATAAAGTTACGAAGTTTTGGTGAAATTACAGGCACATGAGACTTGTCAACTTATTTATGTCTCAGGGTGACGGGCGCAGCCCCGGGGCCCCTCAGATCTTTGCGATTTAAAGCTCTGAGTGGCACTGCAACTGTTATGGACAGACGTATAGCTTACCATCAGGCGCACGACTTGTTCGTCCCGTCACTTGATATTATAAAAATAAAAGTTCAGAAGTTTTGAAAACGTGACACAAAATGTAAATAATAAAAACATATTTTCGTATCAAATCTGGTACCAGCCATACATGCCATGCCACATGCATTCAAGAAAAATGCATTTTATTATTAATTTTTTTACATTTTCCCAAAAATTACTTTTGGAATTTCGTGACTTTGTTATTAAGGTCCGCATCAACTTTACAAACCAAGAAAGATACAAATATAGAAAAAAAAATTACACGTATTTGTCAGAATTTTACGTCCTATGTTAATTGTAAGTTACGTCCATCATTATAGATGTAGGGGACAACATGAGCAATAAATGCCGGTTTTGGTGGTGGCATCATCTCTGAGGTGCCGGGTTCGATTCAATGTAGAAAAAGCTTTTCTATATTGTTTCGGGTTTGGGTGTTTGTGGTACCGTTTTTCCTTTGTTTCCGATTCCCAAATCACAAATGCTTTAGTTACTTACTATGGGTTCAGAGGAGCGTAGTGATGTTGTCTAATATTTATTATATTTATTAAATGGCACATGAGTAGTATTTGATATATTTGACAGCTTTTGTATGCTAGTCGTGATTTCTGTACATAAATAATTATACATATAAAAATTCTTTTTTGGTCTAGTTTACACTCCATTAGTTTTAATTTTGCAGTTACTATTATTTATTAATTATAAGTAACTATACAAAGTTATCATCCTCGTCATGAAGAACAAGAAGTACGATCCCACTAATTCTATATCTACGTTTTTTACATATAATTAATGAAAGAACAAGTCCAACATGAGATGTGAAGTGCTAAACTGCAAATCTATTTTATTCAGATAAATTCCTATTGCTATTTACGGCAGTTGGTCAGTGAGTGACCATCTATCCATCTTAATAAGATTGAATCTCGAAAACAGGTGCAACATTGCTTAGCAGATCTAGAGGTTCCTTGCTTTTGTTGATACGGTGTTAGTGTTTCCGTAATATAGTTATTTTCAACACTAATGGCATCAGGCTTTGATAGCGTTTCGTAAACAATATTGTTAACAAGCTGAACAAACAAATGTATGTCCAGTTTCATTGTAACTTTGCTAAATTAAAAATTTTAGACAGTCAGGTGTAATTGATTTGATTAGTGTATTGTGAATCATATTTATACACTTTGTCTAATACCTGGGTGGAAACGGACATAATCCTGCTGGACATGCAGATTCTTGGGCAAATCATCCATTTTTTTCAATGCATCAAATGGTGTTCTAGTATCAACTGGTGTCAAATAAAAATCTTGTAGGTCTGCTGTAAATTACAAATTTTATGTTTCATATTGAGCATAATAATCAGAAGTAGGATATTTTTATTAAAACCATAACTGTGTCTTTATAAATGGACAAATATATTACAGATTCCAAAACGGTGTGCTCAAAACTCTGGTAAATTCTCCATGGTTCACAAAAATCGATATTCATGATTAACTGAAAAGCTCCACAGTCAAACAGGAGATAAGTAGCATGTCAAAAGCCTATAAGGACAGAATCTCACGACATGAAATAGGCTGTCACAAAAGCTCTGAACGAACATCCAAGTAAGAGACGATTGAGGAGGTGCCACATGTGGGACTAAAGGAAGGAGAACGTGGAAAGATGAAGGCAGCCTAACATGGGGTGGGTGAGCCTATCACGTCAAATAGATCACAACATAAAAAACCGACCTCAAAAGTCGATCAACCCCTAGTTTGAGATTTTACACATTATTCAAGGGTTAGAATCCTTCTACAACATACAGGTTTTATCACAATGGTTTCCTTCACCATTAAGATGACATATTACTTCTAAACATTCACAAATGTATACTCCACACAGGGATTCCAACCATTGGCTTCTCAATTGAAAGGCAACTATTCTCCTGCTGGGCTACCACTGCACATAGGGGATAACTACAGTAGAAACTACACACAACAAATCATTGAGGTGGTAATAAAAATTACAACATACCAACAGTCTCAATAGTATGAAGTAAAGAATTAGGCACACTATGACCAGTCTCCTCAAAACAGACTTTCAGAACTCTAAATTTGGTGTCCAAGTTGTCAAACTCTGATTCTGGTGTCAAGCCATTATTGGAACATATTTTGAGAACAGTCTCATCAATATTTACTGGTGGGTCCCATGGTTTGTATGGTCGGAGAAACCTGCAAAAAGACAACTTTCTTAATTATACATAGACCTATTTTTCGCTGTAGGAGGAATTATTGATGCACAAAACATGTAACATTGCTATGGAAACTATACGAGAGTCATGACAAAAGAACTTAGATACTCTTTGATCACTTGTTTGATACTGGCAAGTTATACACCGTCGTAAAGGCAGGTTATTGCTAATAAATTTGAAAATGGAGCACGTCTTAAATCGAATTCTTTTTTATTTATTTGTTTTATTTTTCGGTGACAATCTGGCGGGAATTTCTAGTATATATAGTAATCTGTGGGGAGTTTTGTTCGTAACAATGGAGCTCTCTCAACGTTATTTTCTGTTATATGACTACAAAAAAGGTTTAAATCTGCAAGAATATTTTGAACTTTTAGCCACAACATTTGGTGATACTGTTTGTTCACGAGCATCAGTTCTCAATTGGTTTGCTGAATTTAAAAGAGGACTGGGAAGCTTTGAAGATGAGGCGAAGTCAGGTCGGCCGTCAACCGCGATTACTCAAGAAAACGTTCAAACTGTCGAAAAAGTAATTCGTGAAAACCAATGAACTACATATATAGAGCTTGAGCGAAAACTGGGCATTGGACCAGCAGCATCGCAAAGTATTATTCACGGACAACTGTCTCTCCATAAGCGTTGTTCGAGATGGGTTCCGCAAAGTTAACGATGAGCAGAAAGAACGTCGCGTGATTAGTGCATATTT